CAATCCAAACTAAAAACACTAATCTTAAGGTGCCCCACAAAAAATGTACTGTATGTGCCTTCAGCCTTCCCAGCTGCCTCTGAGCCTCATGAAGCAATTGTAGACCAGAAACACCAGTCAAAAGTTCAGTGAAGTGCATTCATCTCCCCATCCAGGTCAGAATCAATCGCCTACCCCAAAGTTCATGTGGAATCGCCAAGTTCCTGCAAAATCTTCTCCTTGGTCCAATGACCCTGACCAAGTGCTGTAGAGTTTCGTCTTGCTTCCTCAAAGACCCTCAAACGGGGGCCTGTTGATCTGCCGGGTACAGTAGAGCTTCGCAGGGCTATCGTATTATTGTATATGGGATCTGATATATACGCTAACTTTAACACAAGCATGTGTTAAAAAGAATCCTTTAAAAAAAATCCTTAGAGGAATGAGGCAGTCTCCCTCTACCTGTAGGTACAGTAGTAGTTGTGACACCCAAAGCAACGGTACACTTACGACGGGCCGCGTGGACAGCTCGAATCGATCGCCAACACTGAGTCAGTCGCTGGGGATCTTGGAACTAATCCATCAAAAAGTTCACAGGTCCAGCCCCTTCATGTGGGCCCAAGCTGGCCCAATTCCACTCAGTTCACAGTCCCACGGGTTTAATCCAAATCGACATTCATCCAAACTCTCCTCCATCTTTTCGGTCATTTCTTCTCGGATCTTCCGCACCTTCGGAAAACCGGGAGCCCAAAACAAGTCACTTTTCGACTCCGGTCGTGTGCGACCGCTTCGCGGAATTCCACGCTTGGTTTTGATAGCGCTTGGTTTTCCAAGGATATTCGATGATGATGCTCTGGTGCGTTTCACTACCTTGGGCCCTGCTTTTTCAGGGCCTGTGGAAACATGATTCCCAAGCATGGCTGTGTGGACACACTCGCCTGAAAAAGGACTTCTCCACATGTGGGTCTGTGTGGGCAACGCACGTTCTTACGCATGTATTACGCACGTAACGCACCCATTGATTGGTCACGTCGCCTCTTTGACACGGAGTGTGGCACGTGTGGCCAAGGGCGCCAAGGGGCTGATCGAAATGACTGGACAATCACAGTACGACATGTGGCATGTGGCACCTAATCTTCCGCTTGCTTGCTTGAACAATTGCTTGAACATGTGCCGGCAACCCAGTGCAGATCGATTTTGATGGGTCCAACCTGTGCTTAACTAAGCCTGCACCACCTATATTCCAGCCTGACAGAAGAACATGGGTGCAAAGTTAAGTCAGTTACAAAGCCTCTTTCGATTCACCAACACTTCACGATCAGCGCAGTAAAGGCCTCGGTCTCAACAACCACTGCATGGTTCCGGAACTCTTGCAAGAATGCCGCTCGTGCACGTTGCAAGTGGGCCTGCAATGCTGGATCTGCGCCACGAATGTACTAAGCAACTTACACCTCCAAGAACAATCATGGAAGTGGAAAACCATGTAAAACCACCTGATTGATACTCGATGAATAAACCACTGGACCAATTGCAAAGCATGTTGCAAAGCATGTTGCAAAGAAAACCTATCTGTAGAATGGCTGTTCAGCCTCGGATCTCCATTTACCAGGTAGAATCTATAAAATGAGGTAACCAGCCTTAAGCAATAGAAAAAGATCTGGCAAGCGGCTCTATGAAATGACCGAACCATACCAGACCAGCCGCTCTGTGATGTATCAACCTGAATGTGTACTGTATTTGTTGTTGGTGATTGTTTTTTTCCTACACTTTGTGGTTTGCTCTGTATCTGGCGGAACCGGGGCACACCAACCGTCACTTTGGGAGGCCATGTGCAGCACAACGGAGAGAGACAGGGCCCCCCTGTGGCCCTGTGGAGTTCCAAGAAGGTGTTTCAAACCAAATGCGAATTCACTTCAACATGTTGAAGCTGCTCCAAATCAGTTTCTCTATAAAATGGAATTCCACATGTCTTACTTTCTATGAGCCAGGATGACCTACTTCAAAAGAATACAATATGAAATGCAATGTTCGGCTTTAGCCTCTTTTGTCCCCCTCACCATAGAATGGGTGCCTGAAATTGCATTTTATAGATACCAATGGCCCCCCATATTATAGAGAACCATTCACCGGGTATCCTGTTCGTAGAGGAAAAACGGTCATCCAAGGGGCACTTGTCCACTTCCATGATAATTTCGCGAGTGTATATGTACTGGGTTGCGATCACATACTGTAGGTACTGTAGGTGTTAAGGTCCAAACTGACATAAGTAAGACATGGGCAGTATGTGAAAAAATGATTTCAGGCTGATTTCCGATTTCCCATGTCTGTTTTGCAAATTTAATGTCATCAAAATTGAATGCTCGGAGAGTGACCAATTCTCCTATCAAAGGTCACCTAGTTCGCACCTCTGTAGGTGCCCATGCAGCTATCATTTTGGTTGACATCCTTGTTTCAGCTGTCCAGACCTTCAGAAACAGACTCTGATCTTGTCTCGCGAGCCAAACTAGTTAGAAACTAAACATGTTAGCAAAGACAACCGTCTTTCATCATCTTGGAGCCCTTTCCAGCTTTCCCCCACATTTTGGAAGAACCACCCCACCACGGCAAATGGAAGCCAGCTGCCTGGAATTTCTGCTCGATGTATTGCATGGTGCCACGCTCCCGAAAGTTCTTCATCTCCTCGGAGCAAGCTCCAGTAGCAAGTTCTCATCTGGCTGGTTGGTGGTTTCAACTCACTTGCTCTGGTCTTTCAACTCGCTCATGTGCTCTGGTCCTTGATCAGTCTCATTGAGCCAGTTAGCCGTTCTGCACGACCCCCGTTCGGCGAACTGCCAAATCGCCTTTTTTCCTGTTCGACGTACCAGATCAGAGGACGGACCACTGTTGGTTGGATACGGGCCAATGGCGCGAGTCTTTCGTCTGCGCTCCTTGGGGTCCAACTGCACCTCCTGGGTGGAGAAGGTCTTAAAGATCTTGTCCAAGCTGGCACATAACCTGCAGCACAAAATGGGATATGTTAACGGGATATCCCAACTGAATTTCGTCAGGTGACTTTCCCAGGAAGGTCTTTGAGGGGTTTCCCTATTCAAATGTACACACCCATATACAACGACCCGCAAACGACCGGCGACCGCGCGGGTCCGCGAGACCCGCTGAAGCGTTGGAACATCTTTCTACGACGTTCCTGACGGAGTCCAGTCCACTCGCTACGACACCACGGAGGGGACAAAATAGAAAAGGCCCCGCACCAACATACCCTAGGGCTCCAAGTACCTTCTAAGAAGTTGTTTGGGTGGGTTTAGAGGGTCCAAATACCTTCTGAGGAGGTACTTGGAGCCCTAGGGATAACAACTCAGCAGTGTTTCGAGGTGTTTTGAGCATCGGTACGGCTCCGGATGATACAAAGGATTTTTTTAAACACCATGTCCTGAACACAAGAAAAAAGAACAACTTATTATTCTCCAGTTTTTATGTCAACTGTAGTCGTCATCGTGCCTTACTGCATACAACATAGTGGCCTGGGCCAGCCAAAGCATCACGCTGGCAGCTGCTTCCAAGTCACTTGGCGACATCTGCAGTCATGGACTTCGGGGCGCCGGGCGGGGCGCCTGGCGCCCCGAGAACTCAAAGAATGATCGTGCCAAGGTGAAACGAAATGGCTGGAGCCATTTTCATGAGCCCCGCTACTACTCTGAGCCCGCGAACCCGCAACACACACACATGAGTCACATGAGCACAGCTGGGCAGCAGCTTCAACTCCTTCAGCTAAGATCCTTTGGTATCACAAGGATGCCTCTTCTACATGTTGAAAACATCTCAAGTCACCTCTCGACTCAGTCATACCATGCCGCATCTGTCTGGTCACCAGTATCGGAAGCAAACAAAAACATCCAAACTCTATGACCCTCGCTGTCTTGGATGGCCAAAAACTCGCCTGGCACCCCAACATTGGACGTCGCGAGCGCGCCGTTTTGTGTCGGAAGTCCCCGGTGCGTCATCGGATGGGCTGACAGGAGAGTCGGGTCGCCAACAAATTGGTATTGACTGGACCCGATTTTTGGCGGCCGAAGTTTCTGTGTCCAGATTCTTTGAGATATGAGGACTGACAATCTTTGTTTTGGTACCTTTTTAGGTACATCTCACCCAGCCTATCCAAAGCAGTAAGTTTCAGAAATCAGAAAACAGCATTCCACGACACAGTCACCTGATTTCAGGGCCGTGACCGGCTCACCAGTGTGTTTCAGTTCAGCGGGCTAGCCGAGCTGAGGACAATGACTGCAAACGAATTGCTGGGCGGTTCATGGTGGTTCAACCGCAATACAATCTGAGTCTTTGGACCTTTACAATTAAACAAAAATGGTCTTAAAGAAATTGAAAACACCTGCCCATGGCTTGCTTGCCGTTGCTTGGGACCTGCACCCATCGCACACAATGTTGAATATATAATAGTATATATAATAGGATATATGGACAGAGCCTCAAGATGCCTCGAGTTGGCGGTTCACCGTGTCCTGGCACCAAACATGTACCTCAGTTATATAATATTACATAAAAAATGGGCCGTGGCTTAAGGGGACCCCCTCTCAAGGCCCCCCCTGGAATAATTTATAAATTATATATTCTGACCCCTAGTCACATTGATGAAACTATTCTGGTATGTCATTCACATTCAGGAATAATTTCTGAACATCTGGATGCAAAACCATGTTATAGGCAAGAGTTGTGCTTTGCACTCAACTGTTTTTCATCCCTGTCGCAACACCGCTCAAATCATCATTTGGTGTGAAACCCCAAATACCCTTGGAGAGACAATACGCCTACATGTGTGTACATCTTGGAATATTATTCCAACAATTATTCCAAATTTATAGGTAGTACCTTGAACCACTACCTAGCTAAAATATTATTCCAGAAATACTATTCCAACAAAATTTATTCCAGTAGGTCAGATGACCCCTGGAATAATGTTTTAAGACACCCCCTTTCATAAAAGACTGTAACAGGGTCTATGCTGTCTACAGTGTGTTCCGGTTCTGCACAGCAGTCAGCCTCCCTCGGCCAGTGCAGCCCCGAGGCTTTCCCGCGGACCACCCCGACAGGTTGGAAGAGGGATGGGCATCGCGATGGGCGTCGCCAGCGGATCAGTAGGCTTCGTAGTGCATCACGGTGAGAACCAAACGCCTGAGCGAGGGGGTGCGTGCAACGTGTCCGAACATGTCCGTGTAGAACATCACGAAACTTTGACGACGGTTCACCCCATTTAGACTAAACCCCAGTACTTATTTATGGATATTTACCGGTGTCATTCTTCGATACAATTTTTTTTCTTTGAGTGGGTTGATGAGGCCGTGTTGCTTTTTAATCCCTGGGAACTGCACCCGTAGCGTGAATTCAGCTGTGAAGCATGCTGACAAGCAGGATGCATCATATAGATGTATATACGACCCAAAACACTAGCTCAGTGAATTCTGAGAAGGAAGTTCCCTAGCGCCCTAGCTCGGGAAGAGGCAAGTTGGAGTTATTACAAACATATGTTGATCATCAGGAACCTCCGAGGCTTCTCAAGGTTGCAAAACCACCAGCGAACCAATTGGCGGCCACCTGCGCAACGGTGTGGGGGAAAACGAGTTTCACGAGCTTCATGCGCCACGTGCAGCCAGAGAGTCTTGTCAGGGCTTCGGAGCTTCTCAAGGATCCTGGGCGTCTCTCGGTGCTCGGGGCGACGGAGGCGACGGTTTCGTCGCCTCGTAGGCTGTTCATGTTTCATCTGGCATGGCGTCAGGCTGTGAAGGGCATCATAAACCGCACGCCTTGTGATGTCCCTGCAAAAAAGCAACATTCTCACACACCAGCTGGGTGATGTCAAAAGCCCACCACAAGATACCACAAGTAAGGACATACTGGCAACCCTCCCCAGCCAGGCAGCTGGTTATAGTCTTGCAGTCCAGTGTCCATGCTGACACTGAACCGCTCCACCACATGTGATGGAAAGTGGGCTTCTATTTGAAGACATCGTGTAATGATGTGTAATGTGTCGAGTTGAACTGGGGTGTGATTCGAGCCTGGCAGTACTCGCTACTCCTTAAGTCTCTGGAAGGCCTCCAAATTATCCAAGACAAGCACGCAAAACAACTTGTTGATTGGGATCTTAGGCTTGACAGGGAACGTCATGAACTTCTCTGTGATAAGTCATAAGAAACAAGCACGTGGACATGCTCCCTCAACTGGACCAACCACGAAGTATAACTATACACTGAGTCAAAGTCGTGGCTTCTGCTGAGGCCCTAAACTCATCTAAACTCCAGACCCACTTGGCATCCCATCTTCCTCCAACTGACCAGTCACTTGCTCGGTTCCACCGGTCTCCACCGGTCTCCACCGGTATCAACACGAAGCCCGGTTCGATTCCGTTGGACCGCTTCGGCAACCAGGTGGCGTGTCGATGTTTCCAGCCACCTCGTTCACTGCCGTGATGCCTGGACCGAGCGGAACAGCGCAGCCCGGTCCGGACTCGGGGTACACGCAGAACCGGGTCGCGCGTAGGCGTTTCCAGGGCAGAACGCCAGGGTGACACGAGCGAAAAGAACGAACTGGCCATGGAACCATGGAGAGGTCTACAAACATGTGACATGTGCTATGAAAGTGTTGGTGGATCGATTCTGTCTGCAACAACACTTTGTGAGCTTTGGAACGCTCGGATCTCGCTATAGTGCTTTTGCCGCCCACATCAACAGGCGAAAACATCCTTTGGACCAAGGAGCGGTCGTGTGGCAAAGCCGCAATGTCGGGGTTTTCCTGTCAAATGGCTGAGGTGAAATGGCATGTTCATGCATGTCCCATCTCCCAAAGCATGGTCTAACAGCAAGACCTCATAAATAAATAAAGCCTAAACTAGTGCGCATGTAAAAGTAGAATCACGTCACCTCTTCCTTTTGCCTCCGCAAATTCATTGATGGCTCCTTGTTCCAATCTGCAACCAGGCCGGGGCTGATGCTGGCCTTGAACGTGGTGAGAAGGGGCAAGTGTGCAGCCCTCATGGTGGAAAGGTTCGAGGAAGCAAATTCTTGCAAGCAGAGTCTATATGACACAAAACTATAACAATGAATGATATTATATATATATATGTGATGTTCCATATCCATTTGGGGACGCGAGATTCATTCATGTGGGTGATCGTATATTGAAATATATTGAATGTGTCTCCTCCCGCACTGCACCCCATTGTTCAAGGACTTTTTTCTCTGGGCCCCATGCAATGACACACCCACCATCTTCCCCCACCATGACCAAAACACCTTGTTATGTTGCCTTGCCAAACAAAGAATAAGATGCCTTGCCAGTACTCCCTGCCAAACTCTTAAAAAACACACGAATAACATACAGTGGATTATAGTGGTTTCAGAGTAGATGGCACAAGGGCCCCCAAGTTACAAGTAAGTGGTTTGTATGGACCCCCATCTGTCTAAGACCTCTTGGGGTGCCAGTGCCATCGAGCCTCTGAAACCACGTCTTCGCCGGGTGGCAATCCATGGCTTCACTGAGGTCTTGCGATAGTTGACATCGATGCCAAGTCGGCCTGAGGTCTTCGCGGGTCGGCGAGCGCAACTGCCAATGGGAATTCATCTGCTTGATCCCTATATAAATAATATATATATAGTATCTATTCTATAGTCGGGGGATATCAAGGGCTAAGTATGGCTATATGCTCCCTGATTTGCTAGGGCTCAGCTGCAGGTGTCTGATGCGGCTCACTTCCAGCCTCATGGAAACTGCCAACCCAATGATTAGAAGAGTTGACCAAAGCACTCCCCAAAGTCGCTGTTCGTTTTTTTGCGAAGGCCACGGCTATGTGATGTTCTATCATGTTCATCAACCTCTCGCTTCGTCTCATTGACTTTAACCGGCACCTGCTGAAGAACCAGAACCGCGGCCACAAAGTTCCGAAGAAACATATGAGGTACAGTCAAAGCTTTGGTAATGTGCAGCTATTGCATTGTCATATTTGTGAGCCCGCTATCGTTTCCCATTGTAATGGCACCTTGTTACAGTTAAAAGGCATTGTTTATTTGTGAGTGCCCTATCGCATGCCAGCGTACGAATGCAACATAATGCAACCGATTGTATTGTATCAAACAATGCACTCATATATGCAATCATGATCATCGCACATTTTGAAGGCACTTGGTATGTAACAAAAGTTGCTTGGAGGAAGTTTGCCAAGGGAAAGCCTCCAACAGCTGCTTTCTAAGTCTAAGGCTCTAAGTCTTTGAATCTCTTTGATTTTTCCTCTCTTCTGTTTGGCTAGGGCCAGGGATTCTCGGGTGCCGGCCGATTGTGAGGGAGAGATCATCAACTATAGGTGTTCCTCCCAGGCACATGGGAGGTTTTGTGAGCAGTGTCCGGGCACCCAAATAGTCTCAACAACAAAAACGAACGCTCCAGCACAATCGCTATCGGACCATTTGGGATATCTGTGAAGCCATGTGGGCCATCCATGTCCCCAAAAAAACTGAGGACTGCGATCCTCTGCTCCCAAGGTCTCCTGTTCGACTTGCGAAGAACCTCCCGAAGGAACGTGCCGACGCCGAGCGGCCGGGTTTTTCGAGCACCACCTTGCGCTCCTCGGGGCGGCGGAACTTCAAGACAATCTCCTGGCGGTTCGGGCGGTGTTTCTTTCAGGTGAAGTCCTGGAGGTGAACTTCTGAAAAAGAACATGGAGAACATGCCAAATGTGGTCAAGACTGGTGGGCACCCATCCGGTCACCAGTTCCTCAATCCAGGAACTGGGTGCATGTTGAGGGCGGTTACTATATACAATGACCTTGCAACTTGCAAGTAGATATATATATATATAATATAGATGATGATCTTAAACCTAGTTGGTGGTCGGGAAACGTTGACACCGCCCCGTGAACTTGGGAGACTTGTCCAAACCGTCCATGTTCAGAGCCCACCTCCCAGAAACTGTCACCCAATCAACCATCACTACTTGCGTCTTGTCTCGTTGCTGCACGTTTTCCGACTCTTGGGCTGAACATCACCGCTTGTCCCCCACTATCAGGGCCGCTCCTGGGCGTCCGCCTCCAACTTCCGCGCGATGTCGTCACCGTTCACAAGCTCGCCATTCACTTCCAGGACTTGATCCTCAGCCGCAGAAGGAAACAACCGGTGGGCGTATGCTGCGAAGAAACAACCAAACGGTTAACGCCTGTGGCTTGGAAGCGCGAAATCCGTGTAACATGTATTGAGAACACCGGAATTTGACGGGTTCCACGGAATACGACATTACAAACTTCCGATCTGCCCAGGGAAACCACATGAAACCACCTTCAAATCGATCAAACGTTTTTCATCCCACAGTGGCGTATTTGTAACCGACCTGACTGCTGGTTTCACCACCGCATAAAAGAAATGCAAACAACAAAAACGCATCCACTCTTGGCGAGGGTCGTACGTGCGGATCTCCTTGTGGGGCATCAGCTGGTTCCATGCTCCAGCAGCACCACCCGTGACATCCTCAGCCGCTTGGTTCGGGCCCGAAAGCGCGCGCTGTATATATATGTATAAAATACTGTCGTCTTTGCACATGTGATCTGGGAATCGGGAACCATTGTTTTCAAGCATTTATTGATATGTTGTTCCCAAACAAACAGCTGGAGGCTATAGGAATACAATGACAATCATCTTAAATTCAAAGAGTTGGCGCCTATAGTGCTGAAACTGCTTGGGGTCTATGCTGGCATCATTGATACGTGTTTAATAAAGGCGTCTATACTTTAAAACACACGACCTATCATCCTAAATGACTTTTCGGTGTTGAAGCTCTTCCCAGGTGTTCGTCTTTGGGTCCCCTCTTTGGGGGACCCCTTAATTAAAAGCAAAACTGACACATGGAGGCTTTTAATATGGGGAGGGCCGTGTTCTTGATTCTTTTTTCGAGTAGAAGTAGGCGGAAGAGGCGTTTACTTATCATTATGGCCTGAAGGATTTGCACCACAAACTCTGAGCTGTCCGACTTTCCTGTGCAAACATCCAAAGTTGCGGAACTTCTGGAAGGCCAATGATGGCAAGTTCAAGCCTTTTGGATGTAACATATCCCAACATGTCAAACGATTCCAAACCCTTCATCCAGCTATCCAAACACAACCGCAAGCTCCCCAAAAAAAGCTCCACCCAAAAAAGAACCACCGTGCCGTGACTCGTCCACCACCACCGTGACTGTCCCAGGGGCGCGGATGACCACGCAGTTCGTGTCGGAGCGGTCCACTGAGAGGCCCAACAGCCCGTGGTTTCGGCTCAGCGAGGCCGTGAACACGGCCGCGCCCTCGGGTACGGCCCCCGTTGAAGCGCCGTTGAACGGGAGACCGGCAAACAGGCCTCTAGTACAAAGCTATACAGAGCTAGATAAAGGGTTGAGGGATGGTTGAGGGTTTCGGGTGGCAACTTGAAATCAGCTGGCGTTGGCATCAGCCCATTCTCGTCAAAACACATCTTGACAAATGGATCATTGTTTAGTGGTCCGGAGTCCATGGTCAGAAGTAATCCCATGTCGACCATGTTTTGTCAGTCCCACTTTTACTTGGCGAAGGACCCAAACAAATCCAAACCAGGGACAATTGGGTTCATTATTCAAATATGGCTCTCTCCGTATGTCACTGTTTGATCTGTTTGGAACGTCCCGGTCCACAGCTTGGAACGCAGGTGTCCCCAGCCTCAGCCTCATCGTCATCTGCAAAAGTCTTCTGAACTTCGACCATCGGAGGGCGGCGCGAGCCATCATCACCCACGTCAAACTGCTTGTCCTGCGAGGGTTGACCCACATGCCTGAGCTTACCCTGCAAGCCACAACTTGTGAGTTCTCGTAATAGTACGTAGTACATTTGCACTTGTTGGGTTTCAAATGAAGTTCACTACCCGGACAGCCAATTTGCAAACCACTTTCCGCACTTCAAAGGGGGCAGGACCCCTGCCGCATGCAGGACTACCAATGATCCATAGCAATGCATAGTGAAGAACAATGCATTTCTACGTCTAGTAAGGGCCTGATTCGATAGCCCAAAAGGTGATCAAATCGTTTCCACAACCACCGCTGGGGACTTTCCCACAAACATTCCGACACACACATCGAGTGTCACAAGGCCTGGGGGGGGTAGGTGAAACTCCGCACGGACCTGTCCTGTTCCTCGGTTGCGCAGCAGCACCACATCACACCAGGCTGAACGGCGAAATGCTTTTCTTCACTTCGGGAGTGCAGTCAAAACCGCGGTGTCCCTTGCTGAGCCCATCGGCGGACGCCAGGAGTCAGAATTGGGATTCACAAAACGTCTGAGAAAATCTGACCTTCCAAGCTTCTTTTAGATCCTAGGTCCCTAAGCATCTTGTCAGGGGGGCAGAACAGGATCCATTATGCACGCAGCCAAATCACTGGCCAGCAGGCTGGGCATTTTGATGTCTTCCGAAATTGACTGAGCCGCCTCGTGCTCTGTCTACGAAGGTGAAACACTGCGGCACACATCTTCAATGTGCTCCGCAAACGTTTGAACTCAATAAGGTTGGCTGGGCTTAAAACAAAAACTCACGATTCGCCTCTGGAAGGCAGGGGGCTTTGCGAAGGTCCTTTCCTTGCTTGCAAGGAGAGCCAATTGAGAGCCCATGGTTAAATCTCTTGGAAAGGTCTCCTAGTTCATCCTAGTTCCCCTTTTAATCCTTCTTGAAGATCGAGCTGTCCAGCCTTCCTGAGTTCAGAATTGCTGTTCTCCGAAGCCTCAAGGATTTTGCCAAAATATTGTTTGTTGAGAGACCCGAGCGTCAAAACAGTTACACAAAATAGAAACCACCAGCTGCACCCCCATTTTTTGTGGTACACTGCGGTTTTTTCAGAAATCCTTCAACGCTGAATTGCTGGTGGTTGGTGGAAGAATTGCGGTATTTTGGAGGACCTGAGAACTTCCACCTCATCCGCTACACTTATTATGCCGCAGATGTGTTCACGATGCAAAAACAGGGTCAATCCTTCAGGGATCGTTTTCGTGAGAGGCTTCCTTGGGCGCAGCGTTTCTTCTCCTCTTCCTCTCTGACCAAGGATGCAAACCCTCTTTTGAGGCTTAAGAGGTCAAATGATCTCACTACTCTGGCTCATCGGAGCTGAGTCCGTAGTGCAAGACCTGAGATGAAGATTTGAAGACTTCTGAAAATCAATGAGACTGGCTGTCTGACCCAAACCCGAAGGATTCGCCCAGGATCCTGAGCTAATTGGTACCCTCCAAGGTTACGGTGCAAAACTCCGCCTGACATTGCTATACTTGAGAGCGGGGATTGGTGACGAAAGCTAGCATCTCTTGGAAACGGGGACGTGGTGAGACCCGGCGCGTGCGGGGGGAGGGGTCGACGGTCTCCATCCACCAGCCAATGACTTGTTAAAGCCAAGAAGTAACTCCAGCTAGCTGACGCTAGCTTTCGTGATTTTAAATGACTTCAAAACTAAAGTGCGCTCCAAACAACTTTAAACCAGGAAAGTTGAAAGACTGTGCAGCTCGCATCTCTAGGCTCAGGATGCGACCAAGGGACTGAGGCTCTAGACGGGCAAATGTTGAAACACCCATGGCGGTTGAAATGCCAGCTAAAAAAACTGTCCATAGCTTTCCTAGAGACTACAGTGGCTACAACCCCGCTCCCATTTTTCTAATCTGCCACGAACATATAAACACCTTCACACCCCTCGAAGTCACCAGTACAGTAGTTGGGGGATTCAGCCAGTGACCGTCTCAACTCAACCCCGGTCGACACATGATCCAGACACTGTGATGTACATAAACTCGCAAAGGGGATCCCTGAGCCTCTCGATGATCTCCGCTGGAGGACCTGCCACGATGCGAAACCCTCGACGAAACCGTGCTGTGCAGCTCCTTTGGAACAATCATGCCTGCCTTCCGCGTCGGTCTAGACTCTTGGCCAATGGTGTGACAAGGAATGAATCGTCTTCACAAACCACGAACAAAAAACATATAAAGCACTTAGGTCGATGTGTCTGCGGATCACATTGGCGAACTGTTCGCTAGACTTGTGCCAAAACATCCAGAAGTGTCAAATGATTACTTACATTCTCCTTGATTTTGTAATACTTTGAATGGGACACAAATGGAGGGACACTATACTTTATAGTCTATATAGTCCCAGTCCAAACCACATTTTCCTGGTGGGAAATTTTAACCAGCTTAAACCTGTGGCTTCTGTGAGGGTCTCCTTTAGCATTTCCGGGGGTTCAGTCCAGCATAGCAGTCTGGACATGTTGAATCAGTCTCAGCACCCATGTTTGGGCCCGACAGGGTATCAAGTTCAATGAAGGTGCTCTGCGAGATCCATCATTTACTTGCCCTGAATAATTGTTTTTCATGTTTCTTGCTTGTTTGAATGTTGGTTTCTGAATTATGCAACACTCCTGGATTGGTCACTACATGTTAGCTAGGACAACAAAATGATCTACTGATCCAAGTGGCTGGTTCTCGACCTATGCCGATGCACATCCCACAAACGCTTGACCGCTTGACGCACGCAGGGAAACACGACCCCGCATGTCGCGCGCGCATGGCCCGGCATGTCGCCTGAAACACCGTTAATGGCCAGAATGCGATCGTGAGGACACACGGCGAGGTTCGGGTTTTCCTGCAAAGGTGTTCAACTCAGCCGAGGGTCGGATTTGGGTTCTTGCTGCTTCGCAGTCGGGTATCACAACATCTGGTCTAAAACACGATCGACGATAATGAATGCAAGTACCAGTGGCAAAAGGTGGGAAGTCCAGATTCGGATTCGTGCTAACCTGCTAACACTGGCCCCCATGCCCCCAATAGACAGAAACTGCCAATGCATGTTGCATGTCGGTGGCTTTTTGATGCTTTTGGGGTCATCCAGCAACATATTGGCAAGTGGCAAGAGACGTGGAACATTCAAGGTATGCCCATCCATATCCCAAAAGAAATCTGGATTTCCGAAAGGGTCACTGCGGGGGTCTGAAAAAGACACTTGTTGGGATGAAGTGAAACATAGCCCCTTAGGGAGGCGGTGGTTGGACTGCTATTGAGTCGAACCAGAAAAGAAGCATCACAAGGCACGGTCCTGGTCGCAGGAAAGACTATGTACCAGAAGACGCAGGACAAATCTGGATTTCCAAAACTTCCAAACCAAAAACTGGCACGGTGTCCTTTTTGCAATCCCCCTTCTGTGTGCTTGGTGGAACAAATTCAAAGCACCCGAGATGAAAAGATATCCAATCATATCCACCGTTTTCTGGGTTTTCTGGGTGCAAGTTGTCTTTGTTCAACAACAATCCTTCAAAAACACAACAACTACAATCTTGCAAGAACTCAACGCCTGCCAACATTCCCGTGAGTGACGTCAACAACATGATCCAACTGCGTATTTTTGCAGGCATGCGTCTTTATAGGATACCCAAGGGCTATCCATTTCAACCAGGCGTCTGAGTTCCATCGCTGGAGCGACCCCCCGCTGATGGCTGCGATCCAGGGCCTGCGGAGAGGGTTTTAACCATGGACCCGTCTTTGGGTGGATTCTGGCCGCATGACATGTGCCATGTCTCGTCTCCCAGCCGAGGTGTTGCTTTATTTTTGTGCTTGGCCGAGTGAGAATGGACCCGTGAGGTCAGGTTCATGTTTTGAGTCGGCTGGGTCCAGGCAGCCTTCCAGTTTTAAAATGGGTCTCAAGGTGCAGGACCTCAAGAGGCAGCCACTGCATGAAAACAAGGATCATGATGAATCATGGAAGTCTACAACCAGGGAGTGCTCTCCATTTACCATCTTTGGAGGGACAGTCATAATGATTCAATATGGAGTTCCAACCAATTGCAGCTCTTTGGGGGTAGGTCCGTGATTGATTTGGTGTGAGCTTTGGGTTTCATTGGGTTTCTTAGTTTCAGTATGTGCATCCTTGATGAGAGTGCAACTTTCTTCTTGGCTGGCTTAAGCCACAAAACGGGGAGCTCCATCACCCTCCCATCAAGGGTCTGATCTTGCACAACTTTGCCCATCTGCAGCATCCAACTGCTGCTTCCGTTCATGCAACAACAAAACTGCTGCGGTCTTCAAAGATCCGGGTCTGCAAGGTCTGCAACAAAAGCATCCGGACCGACTTTGAACCTAATCTAACAATGTGTTGTTTCTGTTGCGAACAAGAAGGAACCCACTCATCCACACTCCACCTCCTTGTACCCCATCCCTGGGAGAACAAAGAGCAGCTCTGTGCTCCGTGTGCTCCGCGGCTGCTTCTCACAGGGGCATTTTCGGGTTAAGATCATTGGACTTGGACTCAGCGCTTGAGAGCTCGACTGAGTGCGGGTACAATGTAACCACGAACCGGAAAGCTCGTCTGCCAGTCGGTTCTCGATCCTGAAAGCCGAACCCAGGGTTCAGTGGCCTATTGGCGGGTCAAAACTGGGCTACCTGGGTTGACCAAAGAAAATGAACAGATTCCTCTATAAGGGATGTCAACCTCCCATGGTTTGGTGGGGCCGTTTTGACTCACAGCCAAATTGGACCCATGTTTGCAAGGGAGCATTGTCAATTAGCGAAGCCGGGGCCGAGAAAACAACACTCCCAGTGGCCTAATCGTCACTGTTTTCCGGAAACCTGGGCTGAGAGTACGGTGGAGAATGGCTAAGAGTCCCAGCTAAACCTATCAATTGTGCAGTGTGCGCTCACGGAAACTTGGTGTTAGAGTAGGGTTCGCTACCCCATACCCACTCGCTGTGTCCCTCACATTCAGAACCTGCCCTCCAGCACTGGGAACTCGCCAACATAACAAGAAATTTTAACTATATGTGTTCATCTTGTTTTATTACATAACAATGTTATATCCCAAGTCCTGCTAAAAAGGATGAAAAACTCAAGGACTACCAAACGCCCCTCAAAGAAACAAATGATGAACCAAAAATTGGTTTTAAGTTATCGTGAAATATCGTGAACGGGTTCGCAAATAGAAACGTGTTGAGATAAGAAATGTTTGATTTCAATGGTCTAACATGCAATGAATCGCGATTGGGAAACAGTCCAAAACGATGCTGAAATGAACGGGAAAAACATGTGAGCAAACATCGGCGAAATTGCGTTCAGTAGGGTACAGCCACTGCATTCTCAGACCAATCAAGAAGACTTAGAACCATGAAGGAACCAATTCGAGCCACAACTTGCGATCTGAAACGCATGTGCAACATCGCCAACCGACATATTAGGTTCATCCAATATGCCATATGCCAAACTGGGTCGTCCCCTAT